AAATGTATGTCTTTGGGAATGTTTTCCCTTATTTATTTTTTTATTTTTTGAGATAGAGTCTCACTCTGTTACCCTGGGTAGAGTGTGATGGCATCATTATAGCTCACTGCAACCTCAAACTCCTGGGCTCAAGCAATCGTCCTGCCTCAGCCTCCTGAGTAGCTGGGACTACAGGTGTGCGTCACCATGCCCAGCTAATTTTTTCTATTTTTTAGTAGAGACATGGGGTCTCACTCTTGCTCAGGCTGGTCTCAAACTCCTGACCTCAAGCAATCCTCCCACCTTGGCCTCCCAGAGTGCTAGGATTACAGATGTGAGCCAGCATGCCCAGCCTATTTTGCCTTAAAGTATACATTTTCTACTATAAATATTTTTATACTGACTTCATGTCTTGTTGCTTTTGGAAACTTCTCAACCAAGATCTCTCCAAATACTGCTTTTATACTCTTCCCTCTTATTTCTGGGACTCAAACATGTGTTAGATATGCTTACCATGTCTCCTTTAATTTTCTCCCCCACTCTTTTGGTATTATCCATAATTAAGTCTCAAGATTCATTCTGGATATATTTTCTTCAGCCATGTTTTCATTTCTCTGATTCTTCCCTGAAGCAGGGAACTTGCCTTTGACCCTTGTACCATAACAGTAAGGTTTTCAGGGTAGATTTTATTATGCTCCAAGCAGAGGAGGAAGGTGAGGGTTAGAGATGATAAGCAGCTTGTCCTTGGTCACCCAGCCTGAAAAGGGCAGAGCAGGAACTAACATCACAGATTAGACCCTCAACCCAAACCGTTCCCGCTGTGCTTGTTTTCTCCTTGGCTGCGAATGCTCCCCACTTCTCATTTCCCAGGAAGTGAAACCACAGTGAAGTCTTTCACCCTTTCTGGCACTGTAATATATTTCTTTTGAGATTATAAAAATCAGTGATATTTCTTCATTAACCATGATATTTTCTAAGTACTTTTTCTGGTATTCCAAACATTGATGTGTTGTTCTCAATTTAAGGGCATAATCACCAAGTTAACTCTGTTCAAAGAAGAGAAAGATGGTGGGGTACTTTCCGAAGGAGATTTCCCAATTGGTCTGAACCAGACAGTCCTAGCACGAATCCTTCATTCCGTCAGCAGCAAGATGGAGATGCAACAGCGAGTGATACCTATGTGGACTCTGCAGTAAGATAGTAAGTGATCAGTCGGCATGGCTGGAATATACCAGCCAGTGAAATCTATACTCCTATAGTTAAATATGTCATTCTCTCCAACCTGGTGGAGAGAGGAATGATAGGACCAGATTAATGGTCAAGCAAACTTTATTGTAGCCCTGGTATCAGTGGGGAAAATGTGTATAGAAGACTGTCTGCGCATATATGGACTACTTCCTTTTTTCCACTTCCCCACAGCACTCCTTATGCTATTCCACGATATCATCGGAGAGGTACTTTTCATAAACAAGACCAAACCCCGGTTAACATGCAGAGAGAGCAAAAACTTCTAGAGAGAAGCATGGAGGGATGCAGGCTGAATGGGACCTCAGGGAGCTGGTTCAAGATCACAGTGAGTGTCCTGACAAAATGAATCTAACATGCAGAAGGAGAACGGGGCGTTGTGCTGGACTTGTGTAGAGACACTAGGTATTTTTCTGAGGGCAGGGGAATTGGTAATCTGTCCTTTTTATTACTAGGAGTTAACATCCTACATCATCTAAGGGCAAATTTAGAGAAGCAATATAAAGGAAACAGGCTGACTACAGAAAGAACAGAAGGGGTTGTTTCCAAGCAAAGAAAGAAACTAATGCTAAGGCGATAGAGCAACTCCACACCAGATGCCTCAGTTTGGCTCAAACTGAGTGTGTGGCGTGTTGATTATCTAGGGTCTTTGTTAAAGGGGCAGCCTGGGTCTGCCTTAGGTAGAATGTCTTGGGACTTTATAAAAGGAAGCTCATATTAATTTTTTTTTCTTTTTCTTTCTTTCTTTTTTTTTTTTTTTTTTTTTTTTTT